GAAATAACTAAAATATGTTCATTATACTTATGTTAGTATATCTAAGAATAGAAAGGCTGTTTAAACCCTGTGTATTGTTAATGCACTAACCCTACTTAAATCATCATCAGTTTTAGTTTTGTGTATAGTAATATAGATATTTTTTTATTTCAATCTTATTCAATTTGAGCATCTTTTAAGGAGAATAGCAACTGTTAATAAAACTAAAAAATAATTCTAAACCATAAAACCAACTTGGATGTGTTTTTTTCCAGCCCTGAGTGGTGTCCACAGCTCTTCCTGTTGCATATAGCCATGACAATGTTCGCGTATAAAATAGTCACGAGTAAAGGAGTTACTGCTGCTCTTGAGCTCATCGCTTTGAATGAGATTGTCAACACTTTTTTATCAACTATCCCGGTTGTCCCAGTCCATCTCCCACCTGGACAATGGTGACAGGACAATAACAGCACAATGTTCACAGAAACTTTGGTAAGAAAACTGAAATACTATAAGTTGAAGGGGACGGAAACAGGATTTTTGATTGCAGTAGACTGCAGTAATAACTGATTATGAATAGAATGCAGGGAGTAGTGTTGGTAACGGCATTGTGGCTACAAAAAGAGGAAGAAGAAACAGAAGTGACCCATCAGGAAAAACTATTTAGAATGAAGTAAAGTTGTGCAACGTGTCCTGTGGATATGTTGCTCTCTTTCCGTTTTAAAGAACTGATTAAAAGTAGCATACTGTATGTGTAAGACAGTAATTTTCTGTGTTTATTTGTGGTAGTCAATGAGAGAGGAAGCCTATCTGTAGCCATATGGTGTTTCTGTTCCTCCATTCAACCGCTGACATCATCTGGAGTGACACACGGCCGGGTGACTTCCTCCGTCTCATTAATCACTTGTGTGTTAACAGGCACACACGCTCTCCCCCAATTCCTGTACCCTTTACAGCCCCGCACCACATTCCGCCCTCCCCTGTTAGCTTCCCGGCTCCAGCATCAGCCTCTATAATGCTCTTTCCCAGCTGGACCTACCCACTTAGCGGTGACCTTTGACCCCTCTGGTTCTCCCTCATAAAACCTCCAACCTCCATGCTGCGTGCTCTCTCCACCTGCTGCTCACCTGCTGTGTGTGGGGCAACATAATGTAGATGAAGGGATGAAACTGGATGAGGGAGGATTCGTTTTTAGTCATACTGGGAAAAAAGAAAGGCACAGACAGATTTTTATCAAGAAAGACATCTTGTTTATAACTGGAGCTTTGTTCAAAGTGTGTACTTTGGCTTTCCCGCGCTTATGTTGTGAAACTCAAAAAAAAAAAGAAAAAAGTGAAGCAACCCACAGCCGTTGGAAGACAGGTGATATTTCCAGTGTGTTATCTCTGCAGAGATAAACCTGACAAGAAGGATCAGCAACACCGGACTCTGATTGGCTGAATTGAGCTGAACTTCAGCCATTGGAGTGGTAGAGGGAGGATGAAAGTAAGGGAGGGTTGCCCAAAAAGACAGTGAGGGAGACATATTTATTTGATTTGAGGTCATATGGTTATACTTAGATATTAATGATTACCTACTACTGTATATTACCGTACATTTAACTATGATACTGTGCCGTGTTAGCAAATAATCTTTCTAATTAATTTGGTCATATTTAAGCTTTGGCAATATATCACATGATTAAAGCTAACTAAGTTGAACTGAATGAAGAGGAAAATAAAAAGAATGAAAGAAAGACAGAGAGAGAGTCATAAAGTCACTGAGTGGAAGTTAGAGGTCAGCATCGTGATGTGAAGCGGCAAGAACTTGCAGTACATCGTTTATTACTGTAAAAACATACAGAATCATCTCTGCAGGGTGAATGAGGGTTCTGCATGGTGGTCTATTTTCTGTCAGGGTCAACAGCAGCCAAAACACACATTTAGTGTGGGTTGAGCCATGGCCTGTAACTGTGTGTACATCACAGCCTACACACATGTAAACCTGCATACTCCTCAGTGTAAATAAGCTTAGTCATTTCATCACTTAAAAGACTCATCAACTGTAACAACAGGCAACAGGTCATGGGAAAATAAACCCATCACTCAGGGGAAAGAGAGATGACAAACTCAAGAATAATCATACTTCTCATTTTCACAGTGCATAAACATTATGTGACCTGCTCAGCTTTTTTTCTCCAGTTTTGTCACCCAGAGAAAGGTTTGCAAAATCAAACAAATGCAAAGATTCTTGTGCACAGCCGGGTCGCCTTCCTACGTGTTTAGGCCTCAGACAATAAATGGCTGGTTTAGTAAGTTAAGCCAAGGTGTGCACAAACTGGGTGTGTCTGTGTGTGTGTTTCCGCTACCCCCACCCATGCGAAGGGTGCTCTTGGGAGAGGGTATGCGCCCGCACTCGTGCCCTCTGGCTCCTCGGCTTCCCTCCATTTTGGCGCATGCACTCTCCCTTCTCTTGCTCCCTGCCTTCGCTCCTCTCCTCTTTCTTGCTTTTCCTTTTGTTTGTTTCTGTTTTGATTTTTCTGGGTTTGTACAAATTCTCAAACTCATTCCCCTCTCTTTTCTTTTTTCCTGCCCTCTCGCTCTCCCTCTCTGTTCTTGTTGGTGTAGCTGTCCTTATTTGGCTTCCCTTCGAGTGAGTGGGAGTGTGAGTATGAATGTGACTGTGTGTGTGTGTGTTTCCTCCTGACTGTGAGTCACTGCTTGTCTGACTCACGAGCACTAACAAAAAACACACAGTTGCCATAGGGACGGAACCCCCCCCCCTCCATCTCTCTCTCTCTCTGTCTCTCTCTCTCTTTCTCTGTCTCTACCCCTCCCTGTCAGTCTCTGGTTTCTCTCTCTCCTTGTGGGCACCGCTGCATCCTGGGCAGCCCTGGCACTGTTCATTGGGTGGCACTCTAACTTGGGTGGGATGGTGGTGGGGATGTGGGATACTGAACAGGGTTGGAGGACAGAGGAAGGAACAAGAGACAAAAAAAAAGAAAAAAAGAAAAAAAGAATAAATGCAAGGCTGAAAAAACACAGGTGAAAACTGAGGTGAAAAATTGTTTATACTGAAAAGTTAAATTAAAGTCCAGGAGGCTGCAAGAGAACAGAAACCTAGGGTGCGTGACAAGCAATCATCTATCATCAATAGTAAGTAGAAATGCCTGCATTGACTGAAACAGGCTAAACAGAAAGTGCCCACCTGTGGCTCTATTCTCTGCTTCTGTTCTCTTGCTTTTACTGCTCTGAAATTGCAGGCTGCTTTGAACTGGGCCCATCCTTTGATGTGCTGGCGTCACTACTCGGCCTTGCTATAACCTCCAGGGAGCTTGATAATTTGCCCATGTGTGGCATTACATTTCGACAAAGATCAGGTAGGGCACTGGATGTACCCACAGCCTCATGCTATCAAGATTTGGCCTACTTCCTGGATGCTAAATGCTGGTGGTGTGCCACCTAGTGGACAGACAGTATTTTGATTGTGATGTTTTTTTTTTTGTTTTTTTGTTTGGTCTGTCTTTCTAAGTTGTTGTTATATTGTAGTTTTCCATTTTTGGACTGTTTTGGATAACTATGAGTCACTGGTGGAAGAAGTACTCAAATAATTTACTCAAGTGAAAGTAGCTATAACACAGTGTAGAAATGCAACTAAAAAAGGTCCTGGGTTAAAAATTATGAATAAACACAAAAGCCATAGTATCAAAATATATAGTACCAAAAGTAAAAGTACTCATTGTGCAGAATGACCCCTTTCAAATTATTGTATATTATGTTAGTGGATTATACTTACTGATTCATTAATGTGTACATCACTTTAATCGTGCAGCTGGTAAAGGTAGAGCTAATTTTTATTTCCTTAAATACTACTGGAAGCTTGTAGATTAATAAGGTCTCATCTTAACCTGTAATAAGACATGATCATTTATTTATTGATCAGATTTTGTATTATTAATCCTAATCTGCAAAGTTATTTAAAAATGGTATTTAAAAAATGTACAAGTGAGTACAATACCTCAATACTGCAAGTAAATGTACTTAGTTGCTTTCCACCATTGTAAGTTGTTGAGAGATTTCCCCTCTAAACTTCTCAGTTGGTTTCAGTGTTCGAATCCAAAAGAGATAAAAAATATCCAATATTTCCCAAATACAGTTAAAATGAGTGAAAAGTACAAATGATGAATACATAGGAGTGTAGCAAAACTAAGTTTATTCTGTTGATCATTTCTAGAGCTTTATGTTTTCACCCTTTGTTTGGATCCTCCCTCTAGATCAAGAACCACTGACTAAACTACGTAGTGTCGTGTAGCTCTGCCTCAACTAACTACAACAGTAAAATGCTGCTTACACATTAAAGCATCAGTATTAAACATTAAATTAATATCATATATAATAAAATGGACCACTTTTCTGTTCAACAGACTTTTACTTGTGGAACTTTAAGTAAATTGTTTTTGATAAGACCTCTGAACTTTTACTTCATTAAAAGATCTGAGTGCTTCTCCCACCACCGTCTATCTAAGAATTAACATATCAGATTGGCTGTAGATGCAGATAAAATTCAACCACAAACTGTTAACCACAGGCTGTGTCAGACAATGGAGATACAGTACCAAACTGTAAAAGCACAGACATACACTTCCCTAACCCCCTTCACACACAGATTCACACACAAACATGCCAGTTTTGACCTCTGTTTAACCTTTGCGTGGCCTGAAAAGCTCACAGCAGCTGGCTGGTGGAGGACTCTGAGAACAGGCTGAAACTGTACGCCGGCATAATCCTCAGCCAGAGAGACACAGAGAGGGCGAGGGTTGAAGGGGAGAGAGAGAGAGAGGAAACAGGAGCAAACGAGACCAATAAAAATGAGGAATGTGAGAGAAAGAGATCACTCGCTGTTTCAGTTTTTTTAAAGAGGTTCCAAACAAAGTGCTAAACTCCGTCTGAGAGAGACGAGAGTGATGGGAAAAAAAATCACGAGTGCTCAAGACTCACAAGGACAGAATAGAGAGGGCATGAGGGATGACAACATCAAATTAATATATTCAAAAACGCAATTGTCACACTTTATTGAAAAAAAATGCAACCTGCCATATATACTGTATGTTTTTACTGTATATACATGTGTTTTTCTGTGACTGTGACAATATACAGAGTGAACCCAAATGCACACACAGACTGATGTTCAGAGATGAGTCAAGACACTACTTTTAGCGTGGGCTGTGTGAAGTTAAACCAAGGGTGTGAAATTGGAACCAAAAGCAAAGGTTCTCCACATAAATGACTGACATTTCTCCAACTTGTAGTCCCACTTGTTGTAATACATTAACACTGCATGGGTTGCGGCGTGGATATCTTCTCTATCTGCACACACGCTCACGAACATTGTGCTGCAAATGTGCGTGAGCATGTGTATGACAGCTGTCCCTGTATGTGTGTAATAATCCTCAGTAAGCTCCATGGCTCCCACAGTCTCTTTCACTAGATCCTCCAGAGCATCTCTGACCTCACTCTGTGCGTCCCCTACACTCGCTCCACCCCATAACATGCTAACACACACACATACACACACACACACGCACACTGCTCATGTTGCACCTGATGCTAGTTGCACTTTTGAGCCTTAACCCCACTTTCTTTCCTGCCCCTTATTTAATTAAAGGAATGGTCTGACATTTTGGCAAATACGCATATTCATTACATGGGAAAATCCACACTGCTCTCACTTCTGTGCGGTAAATACGAAGCTATACTGCGATCAGAGGGTTAGCTTAGCTTAGCACAAAGACTGGAAACAGGGAAGCTCATAATTAACATGTTACATGTTATTTGTTTAATCTGTACAAAAGCTGTCGAGTACAAAATTACAATTTGCTGTTTTATTTCTTTCAGCTATAGGACTACAGAAAGTTAATGCACTTAGCTAAGAAATAGTCTGTCACATTATCCCTCCACATAAAGGGCAAATTGAAGTTTTTTTTGCACAAACTAAAGAAAAGGTGATGATTAGAGGTGCTTGCAGAGGATTTGGTTAACTTGCACAGTGAACATGTGTATTTCCCAAAACTTTAACTATCCCTTTGAACTGAAATGTGCCTGCAGGACAGTTTCACCCATCAATGAAACATCATTATTTCATCCTTTCACCTTAAATTTAATCGACTGAAAGCTTTGAAACCACTGATGAAGCAAGATGACACACTTACTTGACTAACTTGTTCTGAGAAAATCCCTTTAAAATTTATTCAGTTTAATATTCTGGAGTTATTCCTGCATGAAGACTTAGCTGTAGTCTGTACAATCTCTAATACTGATTCATTAATAGTTGGCTGCCTGGCCAGCCTTTAAATATTCCTTCCACAGCTGGTTATAAAATCATCCCAGCCGTCTGCCTTCACATTTCTCAGCTTGCTTTCATATCACAGTTAAAAGTGTAAATATAACATACTAACTACATAAAAGAAAAAGTGTCCTTCATCTTACATCTGAGTGATAACTTCCCAGTTATCCTTTCCTTCAGTAATACCACTGGGAATAAATCTTCAAACTATCTTGAGTGTCCTTCTTCCACCTCACCTGAATGAACTTCTGTTTCAGGGACATTGTGAGATGATGACTGACATCTGGACAAACATCTACTCTGTTTAGTCTAAGCCAAAAGAGGTCTCTATTTGTGGTGTAAGTTTGCCCCCTGCTGTGCACATCAAGCTCTCTACAACGCAAAACTTGTTCATGATGCCGCATGCCCTGAAAAACTTTGGTATTCCTCTGTCCTCGGTTCCAGTTTCCATTATTTACTTTATCAACACATGTAATGTTAGTGGTGCTTCCCTTTGTTATCACGTGTGCACCAGAGCGTAATCTGGGAAAAGAGGTTAGTGGTGATACACGTAGTATAAACAGGGCTGATCTAAAAGCAGTTCAGCAGGTGCGTATGTGGGCTTAAGCTGACGATCGCTCAATTATCTCAATGTCAAAGTACAAATACATGTAGCATACATTATACATAACCAGTACACACAGCCAGTCCTTGTCTCTGTCAGTGGTTATCATCAAACATCCCAGTGGGCTGGAGGTGGAGGGTCTCAGCTCGTTCACAGTGATCTTCTGCCAAGTTTGGGCTTCCTCTGACTGATGGGCCAAAACTCCCACAATGTCCACAATCATTAATGTCACAGTGTCCATAAAACTATTTAAAATGCAGCCCATGGTGATGGGATACTGTGTATTTATAGTTGTTTATACCTTTTAAGTATAAAAATAACCCCCATTTGTTTGAAACAAGTCAACAATAGGGTGGTTGGGGTGATTTAAGTAAAGAAAAAGTGATGGGGATTTAGGCAAATTTGCAAAACTTGTCTGCAATGCTTCCATCTGATACAAGTACATGTCTGTGAAGCTTTTAAAGATGATCCTCCCTCTTAACAGTGTGATTTTAGCAACAGTTCCTGCAGTCAGTCAAAACTTTATTGTACTTTGATGAGGGAAAAGTAGCTGTTAAAGATTCTCTGAAGTGGCTGAAAAAGTAAAATCCATTGGACAACTTTAACCTTTTGTCACTTTGTATTCCAGGAACAAATGATCTTCTATTGCATTGAGTCATCTTAGTTCTTTCTCTAAGAAAAAAACATGATCTGTGTAAAAAGAGGGACGTTCTCCCACAACGCAAACTCCTCCACGCAGACGGCTGCAGACAGCTCTGTCCTTTGGTCTCTGAAGTGTCCTTGGAGGGGGGTGTCTCAGAAATTGCTGAAGAGTTCGTATTTCTTCATCCAGTCCATCTGTGGTGCCTTCCTCTTTTCTTTGGCATGGACCTTGATCTTTTCCTCTGCTGCCGTGGCGCTGAGAGTCAGGCCCATCTCAGCAAACGGGTCCGACAGCCTGCCGCCCTCATCGTCCGCCAGCTAGACCGGGATAGAGAGATTATCGGAGAAGGAGACAGAGACAGAGACAGAGAGAGAAGGGATGAGAGAACCGGCTTTTCGCGCAGAGCACCAAACACAGCATCACACATGAATGCCCACACCCACCTGTGTGCTGTTGCCCTGGCTGCTGAGGTCGGAGCGCGTGGACCTGATGGACTGTGTGGTGGAGCTACCATTGATCTGAGGGCTGGGGGAGCCGTTGGATATGGATGGACCATCATAGTCTGTGAAAACAATCAAACAATGTATCACTTGTATCAAGCATGATTTTTTCCTCTAACTATATGCAGCGTAAACAATCTTTGGTAACACTTTATTTTATGTGTCTGTAGTTTCTGAGGAGGTTTCCCTAGAAAAGACTACTGTAGAAAAGGCCTCAAAGTTAAGAGTTAGAGTATTAAGTCCTGTTGCCCATATGGAGCTTCTATGTCTGATGTGCTGTTAGGTATCTATATATTCAGTGCTGGTAATTTATAGGGTGAATCAACCCACGTGACGGTGAGATATCGTAACTGACGTCACGCAGTAAAAAAGTTGTGGGCTTCAGTCGAGTGATGGGCTACGGTTGTGCAGTGCAAAAACTTTATTCCAAGTGATTCTGTGCGTGATTGAAAGAGTGAGTATCTATCCGCTGCATTACTTGTGGTACTGTATTTCCTTGTGTTGATGCAGCTATAGATAACTTCTGTTAGCCAATGTGGAGGAGAAGTCGGAGCTTAGGTGCTCGCCATGTGATCACTATGCTAATGATAGCCGAGTTTATGCACGCTAGTTACGGCCCTCGGCTCACCTGACTCAGCACGTCGGATCGAAATGTCTCATGTCGAGTTCAAAACATGTTCATACATTTATTACCTGTTATTGGTATTGTTCAGAGTGTTTTATGATTGAGCTAACATACGAAGTGGTTAGTGTCAAGGGTTATTACCTGTACTGATAATGAGGTTATGCGAACTCGGTGACAGGACGTAGTGTGTCTGTACGTTTCACAATAAAAGCATCCTGCCGGTTCGTCAGCAGGATTTAACACGAATCATAAATAACAGGAAGTGTTATGTCAACATTAGCATTAACTTAACACAGTCTTAATATATCTGAGAAACCTGTGTAATGATTGTTTTGGGTTTGGTAGTTCCTGTGATAGTGTAAAGGAGAGAGAGAAGTGTAATTGTAGCCATTTGGTTACTTCCTCTGTTTACAATTAGTGTTTATATTAGGTTGGTAATATTATACATATTACTGCATGTGGGTGAAAGTAATGTATGTATATGTTTTGTTATCCTTCATTCAATTGTATTTTGTTATTCTTTCTTTGTAGAAAACCACACAACCATAACATCCAGCTGTTATTGCATGAACACTGGAATACCTGTATGTGTTGCTGCAAAGGTAGAGGTAAAGAAAGGAAGTAAATGGCATATCTACGTCTCTCAGCCCTTTATTTATCTATACTCTGGAAACTTGGCCTTAAGTGGTGTTCTGGCCGACACCCCGGGGTGAACCTAGTGACAAACACTGAACTAGCGCCCAGTCTGATCATATTATCATTATCTCCATTACAACTACAGTATGTCATTTAGTACTAAACATAAGAGAAACTGAATAACAGATAACAGAATTTTGGCTCCAATAATTTGCACAAAAAACATTTTTCTTGCAGGAAACTTTATAGAAAATTATGGATCATGGATTTGGTCAGAACTCAACACAATAAAATACCTGCAATTGCTTGATAATAACAACATATTCAATAATGGGACATCCTGGAAATTCTGATTTTTGTGCAACACATAGCCTTTTTAGGTAGTGCAGTCCTACCCTTGAGATGACCGACTGTGGGGATAACCCCCCTCCTCTTGAAGTGTTCGTCTGTGTCTGGATCCACTACCAGCAGCCACGTCTCATCTCCCCCTTTCTTTATGAAGGCCACCACCTCTGCATGCCGCATGCCCTCGATGTTCACGCCATTTACCTGGAGAACACAGATTCAGAGCATTCAGAAAGTGTTCCATTTTTTGCAAATTTATTAAAAAGGGAAAACTGAGAAATCACATTTATGATTTGGCATATCTCTAAAACACAGAAAGAGAAACAAAGCATCAACAGTATAATTTACATTAAACGCTGATTCACTTTCTCCCACAAAGGCTGAATATATGGACAATATCGAAACATATGGGCATGGTAGACCAGTGCTGATCCACACTACCTCTTATTGGGTCCCAGTTCACCTGGATTTCTAAATTAAAGTTATAAACAAGCAAATATCTCAAGATCAGTGAACCGATATATATTCACTTTATTTTGAATATAGCACCTGACAGAACCTGTGTCCTGTCACTGTATTTTTACTGTTGACATACTGTATACAATGCTGAGAGCCTGTGCGCACAGTAGGGGGAGCCATGCATCAACATACTGATTATGGGACTATTCAACATGTCTCTCAGAGCGCCTGAAACACTCCGCACAATGTTCCTCAAACTCTTGCTATGAATTATGAGTTCTTGCAATGGGACAATATGGAGCCTGAAGATACAACGAACCACAATGATAGAAGACTTCTCTTAGGTACTTTGTACAGTCAGTTATGGGAACAGAAACAGCTAAACAAAGGGACATAATGAACGTGTGCATGTGACTGAACATCTATTTGACAGTATTGCCTTTGCCTCTACACCTAGCTGGCAAAACACAATAGCCTGTTATTGTTTGGTCTTATCTAGATGCTGCATGCATTTCGGAGGCCTGCGTTTCAACAGTTTTGTCTAGACCTTGGCTTCTCTGATGCAGGCAGCTTCGCACCACGCCAAGTTAGTGTTGGTACACAATCAATTATTGATGGCTCTCCTGGGCTCCGGCTATAGTGGGGGTTTCAGGTGTCAGAGTTCTGAGAAGGAAATTGTTTAAAATTCACTGCTTATGACGAGAAGGGATGGAGCGAAGCAGAAGAGGAGGATGGAACGCGCAAACTCTTAAAGTTTGCTCTTGCCCTCATTTGTGGGTGAGGAAAACGGGGGTGAGATAAGTGTAGGAAATAGGACGGTAGGAAAGTAGGTGCAAGAGACTTTACAGGACTTTCAGGGAGAGTGGAAGGAAGACAACACTGTAAATGAGATGGAAGAAACATGAAGAAAGTGTGGGATCAACAGATGGAAAATGTGAACCTCTCCTCTCCTCTCCTCTCCTCTGACAGACAGACATATCATCAGTCAGCCAGGAACAGACAGACAGTTTGATACAGCGAGAACAAACATCTTTGTATTCGGCCAAACAACAGGTGTTGTGTCATGTTTCACAGCCCTTCATTTACAGTCCATCCCACACAAGACAATACACTCTGTTTTCTGTCCACTGGGCTAATTAATACATGCTGTAGGAACAGTACAGGAGCTTATTTCTCATGGGATTATTCCTCAGGGAACCCCTTGATACTAGAGTGTGTGTGCGTGTGTTTTAGTGCCTGTCTCATCAAAGTCATGGAGCATCCAGCCACCTGAGGTCTGATGGCACATTTTTTTTGTGGTTTGTATGTGTGTGTTTGTGTGTGTGTGTGGAGGCAGCTACAGACTAACCTGAGCTTGATCAAAACAAATAGTATCAAAAGCATGTGCACATCTGTGAATATGACGCATCAGATGTGTGCGACTTTGAACTATTTGCGCTCTAGTTTAGCTTTACAAAAAGACAGACAAAAATCTCACTTTTAGACATCTGTCTAATATGGAGAGCCCAGTGGTAGTAACATAGACCTTGACGAGTGATTTACATGCTGAACACTTTCCTTTTGAAACTCCAGGATATTGTACAAACTGTTCCAGTTAAAACAAAGTATGATTCAGCAACTGTATGGCCTATTTGTTGGCTGGAATTAATTTGATTTTGGTAGACAAATTAGCCGAAATTTAATGTTCCCAGAATAGCTGCCATGTTAATCCTGTGGAAAGAGTGAATGGCACATGGTGACTTCTCAGCAAAGGTCAGCTATGCTTTGGTCGTGTTTTGATGGTTTTTAATCTCCGTCATAGAGTCGGAAACTTTCAAGTCATAAAGTATTGGCCAAACTGGAATTGTGATCAAATAGTTGCTCCAGAGGAGAAGCTAAGGTATTGCCACGTGACTACTATTCATCCTGAGATAGGACACGAATGCATATACCAACCTTTATTGCAATCCATCCAACATTTTTCGAGACTTTTTCACTCCAAACTACAAATGTAAACCTCATGGTGGCGATAGAGGAAAAGTCAGAAGATCACCAAAGTCAGTAGGATTCATCATCTGGGACCCATGCATGCCTGTATAACAACTATCATGACAATCCATCTGTCGACATTTTCTGAAAAGCTAAAAATGTCACACTGCTTGCTTGATTTTGTAAAGTTGTCTGCAGTGTCATATGCTTGAAATATATAACACAGAGAGTTCTGTGGAAAAGACAACAGTGCAGGATTGAGTGTGTGTACCATTGTTTTATATGCTTGAAATATATAACACAGAGAGTTCTGTGGAAAAGACAACAGTGCAGGATTGAGTGTGTGTACCATTGTTTTGTGATGCGAGTGAACTGGTGTCAAATCCCTGTGGGGCTGATTTGTGGGGTATCGTGAACCCCATTAGGTGTGTATGTGGGTACAATAGGGAAAGTAAGTGTGGTACAAGTTTTTTATGGTCTTTGATGTCACACTATCGTGATGTTTGGGGTTCGGCGTACGCACGGTTGAGCTCAGACAGAGCAGAGAGGCTGATGAGGCGTTCACTGGTGTCAGTGCTTGTGCCAGACATTGGCAGAAAGCTGAGCTCTCATCATCTGCTGATACACCTCCAGTGTAATGGGGCGTGGCGAGAGAAAAGGACGGCGAGAGACAGCTAGCGAGATAGAGAGAGAGGGAGAGAGAGAGAGAGAGAGGGATCTGTAATGGTTGTTCACCTCTCTAACAAGCTGCTGACAGATAACACAAGCGCTGTCTTGACGCATGGTCAGAGATGGTTGCAATTATCAGCAAACACACACACACACACACGCACACACACACACACACAGCCAACTAAGTCAACCGTGGCTCAGATTTTTCAGTCCAAACAAAACTAATACACTGAGTTATTAAGATGGCATGAAACCAGAACACTTCAAATTTCATCAAGTATACCTTATAGTATCCCACAGGAAATGAAAGATAAGACAGAAAAACAGTCCAAAGTTTTACACAAACACTTAACATGTTTCTTTTTCACACATATAAAACAAAAAGGAATAAACAGGAATAAATACAGTGACTTAATACATAAATAATACATAGCAGTGCGCACAGTTGAAATATTTTTAAACTCACCCACATTATGTTGATCAGGAACAACAAAACTAGGGTTGAAACAGTTGTTTTCTTTATAGATTAATCTGATTAATCCATTAGTTATTTGGTCTGTAAAATGTTTTTAAAAGTTAGTTTTCAGTGACATAAAACACATAAAGGCAGCAAATCCTCAGTTTGGAGAAGCTGCACTTAGGACATTTTATTTATTTATTTAAAAGATTAAATAATTTGTCATCACTTGAGTTTCAGCCCCAAAACACGCAGGTTTGTTTCTGTGTACTTCATACACATTCAGATCTTTGATAGCCTACATCATGCCAGTAAAGCTCCTTTTAATGAAACTGAATTTGGTCTGGTACTGTCTTGACTACGTTCTAACTTCATTGTGTATCTGTGAGTGTGTGTTTCTCAGTTTATGTCTGGCATCACAGTGACCTGCCACAGGACATTTCCACACCCTCTCACGAGCTGTCTAATGTTGCAGAGGAGCATCAGTTCATCACTATCCTCTAATGCCAAGACTCTCACTGCTCAAGTGTGGGTTACAACATGAAGCTCTGCTTGATTCTAGTTATATTACCATGCTATTCAAAACAGTTAGTGATGCCCTAGATAATCCACTACAGTGAACATATTATTGGAGATATAACATATTCAGCAGTGAGCTCTGGAGGTGCTGGTGGACAGATTCTGTTTCCTTTGTACAGAGTCCGGCTAGCAGTTTCCCCCTGTTTCAAGTCTTTGTGCTAAGCTAAGATAACCGGCTACGTATTTACCGTACACACAAGAGAGTGAGACTTTGACTCTTGACAAAAATGTGAATAATTAAAGTTCCCAAAATGTCAAGTTATTCCTTCGATGTGTTCTGTATTCACTTGACTGTTGGACAGTCATCTGAAACATGTAAAACCTCCAGTATGTTCCTGGTTTCCATTTTCCATTTTTTGGTGGGATCCAAATGAACCCTGTCTAACCTTTCTATCAGACCTTAATGGGCATACCTCCCTTCAAAAATCTCTTGAAGACTCATCTCTTCTGAGGGCACCTCCCCTCCTAACACCTCTAACACCCTTACTGGCACTTACTATGCACTTTTGGTGAACGTCTTTAATTGATCTCCTTGATCAATGTATTTGTAGTATTTAGTGCCTACACCAAGGTTTCCTACTGCTTTGAAGCTTCAGTGATGCTCCTCGCTTGTAGTTCGCTTTGGATAAAAGCATCTGCCAAATGAATAAATGTAAATGTTGTTTGGCCTGCTCTGGAGCCTGGTCTGAACCCTGATGTACAGCCAGTGAGGGCAAAGGTCATGGGAATGAAGGGTGAATGCTGTGTGTGTACACAGCTCATGAAGATGATGACGTTACTGCCAGCATGTATTTTTCATAAACCAGAGGAAAGCTGACCTACCACCCATGCTCTTTGTCACCCGCCTTCTCAACCGTTTCAGAGATTTGAATCAATGGCCTTTAACTTTTATGTGACTGTAAAACTTCAAACTCTCCCTTTTCCTTTTGCCCCTGCATCTTCACTCTGTTGCTTTCTTTCTCTCTCATCCAACACACTCTGCCTGTCTCCATTTCTCTGTTTTTTATAGGAAGAGACATACATATACACACACTCCCTCCTCCCCCCATGTCTCTCCCACATTAGCCCCTGCGATCACACTGATTTATAACCGATTCTCCCCTGTGACTGGCCTCTTCTCTCTCTCTCTCTCCTCTCTCTCTCTCCAGTCAGTCACACAGTAGAGATTGAGTCCAGACTCCAGGTCCTGTTATCGTTAGAAACAGGGGCCTGACAGCAGACACACGTGTGACTTCTGCCATTTTAATTACGGCTGTGACAACAAGATGGGGTCACATCTGTATTTGATCAGTGCAAAAAACCGGTGTAAACTTAGCAACTTTTCTGTAGCCTTAGACTTCAATTTTTCAAAAACTACACTTGTTATTTTTAGAAAACATACACACATAATTGATCTTTACTTGTGTTGTTGTTTGGATTTAGTTTCCAACAAGCTGATGCATTCAGGTGTTCTGCAAACACCCAATAGCATCCAGCAGTGTTGTGTGTTGGTGTATTATGGAGTAAATACTCTAGAGAGGCACATCTAAGAGTGCATATAGATTTATATGGGGGAAATGGATTGGATGGCTGTGTGGAAACGTGGGCACATGAGCAAAATCAGGCGTGTAGGCACACAGCGACATGCTTATACAGAACAAACACACCTACAAAGTTACAGAAAAAGCATAATTCTCCAAAGTGGGAACATGAGGGGTTACAAGAGGCCTCTCATAGGATGTTCTCACACCCAGTCAATCATAATGCACTGAAGATATATATATATATGTATATATATATATATATATATATATATATATATACACCAAACTAACCCAGTATCATCAATCAATAATCACCTCATTAGTGTGTATTAGTTGTCATGATCCTCCTCATTCCTGCTGTGTCAATCAAGTTCACACATGCAAGAAAACATTCACATAATACTCACTATCTTGTGCTCTTATGCTCTTCTACTTGAACTCCCTCTAGTTTACCAAACGAAGCCTGTGGAGTCTCCTCCTCACCTCCTTAATCATTAAGCACACACATAAGAAACACTGCTAACTGCTCCACCACCCACACACATACATATTAGGGGTGTAACACAGAGCTACTATCTGTATCTGTATTGGTTTATGTCATACAAATATCTGTGTTTGGATTTATACCTCCAAGTGGTAGTGCCTGCACCAGAAGTTAGTTAGATAGCTGCAAACAAAACATACACAGTAACATAATATTTTAACAATGTACCTAAATGTAATAAATTATAAAACATGATTTGTAGTTGAATACATATTCCTTCAAACTAGGAAAACACAAGTCTCAAACTTTGTAGCTGCTAATGGTTCTGGTGGAAATAAGTAGTGGAATAGAACAGTGCATGGTTTATCTTTTAAAACTGGATGCTGTGTGTATAAAGGGAGGAAGCCCAGATGAATGTAGTGAAGTGTATATGATAGAAATAAGAGGGCAATAATAGCTCATTGGGTCAGAGTGCATGATTTTAAAAAGAAGGGGTTGGGCATGCAAAGACAGGATGTCTGGACGAAAATAAAGTTGGTCTGAAGTGTCTATGGAATAAAAAGGAGAAAACTATTGAGAAAAATCTGAAAAGCTCCCTTAGCTATTTAGCATGGACTTTTGAGACGGTCCCTAAATTCAGTTATGAATATACTACTACTACACACACACACACACACACACACACACACACACACACAGTGGAAAAAATAACAGGTACAGCATTGATGGCTATTTAATGCAGTCCAATAGAACAGCACCACAAGCCAAAAAAGTTGAGTTGAAGTAATACCTCAGTGGCAGTGCCAACATAAAGTGAAGTGAATTTACTGCAGGCCTATTGTATCGGATTGCATTACTTCATCAGGTGTTTCTTCTTGTATCCACCCCCTGTAGATCCCACACACCCTTCACCCACAGTTTTTCTTCCTACCTCAATGAGTCTGTCTTGTGGCTGGAGCCCGGCCTGGTCTGCAGGCGATCCTGGGTCCAGGGAGCGGATGTACTGTCCAGGTCGTGACCGGTCACTGTGGAGGTTGAAGCCGTAACCCGTCTCAGACCGTACCAGGTGGCACAGACGTGGGACGAGGTTGGATGGGTCGACCTGGGGCCGTGACTGGGACTGAGCCTGGGTGTGAGCTTCAGCCTGAGCCTCCTGGAAGAAAGGGAGAGAAGTATGTATTTGTTCTTTTTAAGTGCCATGTGGAAATCCTCGTCCCTTCGCTTTGTCCCTCTAAGTATGATTTTAATTGAAGCTGATTCCATTTTCGCTCTTCATTAGAATCTCATGTGTCAACTTGCAAAACTGTGCGTTTCAGATTAGTTTGAATAAAAATGTCTGTTTATATTTATTCTTTAAAAAAACATACAATATTGTTAACACTGAAGTCATTGCATATGTATTTAAACTTAACTTTACCAGTATAACACAAATGTAACAGTGCGCTCACATAATGCAGTTAGTTTACCATTTATAAAGTTGATTATGTAGGAAATTACTATCTAAAGTTAAACAGCTGTGATTCAAACTAGGGATATACAACTGGAATATAGATAAATCGTATAAAAAATAATTGCAAGATACTTAAAAGCCTATATCTTAATCGGTGCAGCGTTACCTATGTAGAAAGATGGGGCAAGTCAGAGTGAGATGCTGCTTTCTGCAGAGCATGTGACGATTTTAAGAGACAGGTGGAAAAAACACATGGCTGAGTCACTGTGGTCATTTATAACAACCACCTCTCAAGCCTGCAGGGTGAGTGTTTCATACAAAAAATGTGGGTGCGATGTCACTTAAAGGCACTAATGATTACTGTATTATAGAAGAATACAATTTTACCAAATTATAAAAAAAATCCAGTGTGAATGTGATAAATAGTTTTGAAAAAAAACAACCTTTTATTACTTGAAAATCATCCATCAGTAGTTCCTGATTCCCTCTCTTCTATGTTTTCATTTTGTGCTGCCATTCAGTCGTAGAAAAGTTATAACATTTTATTATAGAGCACGTTTCATTCTGGAGTGAAAGCGTCGATTTGCAGCATATAGCTAACAGTTCTAACAGCCTCGGTGATGACATTTATAGAACCTGTATAATTGTGCTCTCCAGTGTGATCACACTGATTTACCACCTACATGCTTGGGGAAAAGAAATGTGCAGTGAGAGCAATGATAGACCATAGCCAGCTCCGTGCCCTCAGCTGATATTAGCCGTGAGGTAACACACAGGTAAAGTGGGTGTTAGGTGACCTGCAGGGGAACCAGAAAATATGGTGCACATGTCCTGTGCATATGACAGATCTGAAATCATGTTACGCAACCTCAGGGGTCTATTGTTTCCACTGCATATGTGAAGCTAACATCAAGGTCCAGCATGTGCCTGCTAAAAATACATATGGAGTATGTGGGCAGGGTGAGAGAGATACAAAGGTAGTGTAGTGTTTAGATAGGAGAAGATGGCTGATGATTTATCTTGACAGAAAACAAAGAGGACTGCTCTTCTTTGACTTATCATTAATTTCCGCAAACTCTATCTGCCCTTCAGGTTGTTGTGCGATTATTGTAAATAAGTTATGACCGAGCCGCGATCACCACAATACTGCCTCCCACTCTGTCCCTCAACCATATAAAAATAACACAGATGGCAACATATAATTTCATTTCAGGCACTGAATTCCTTAGGGTAGCAGCGATCTGGGCAGCTTGCCCTGAGAAGGAAGGAGAGAGAGCGAGAGAGGGAGTAACAGCGGAATAATTCAGAGCAGTTCAACTCTCATGAATCCCTCCAGATCCTCCTTTTCCTGACTGGAGAGGAAGTGCCTGGGTTGGGCAGCAGGGGTGGATCTTCCAAGGGAGAGAAAATTTATTAATATAAAATCACATGTATAAGCATCCTGGGATCTAGTCGAAGGAGAAAAAAAAAACGAAAAACAAAATGGCAGAAAGAAGGAGAGGAGGAAGGGAATAAGCACAGAGGGAGAGAGTGCGTGGGAGGCATAGAAAATTAGATGCAGCAAGAGGATTGAGAAAGAGTTCAAGAAAAGAAACGGAATGAGTGAAGAGTACGTGGAGAAATACAGCAGACGGATAAACAGATAAACAGAGAGGCAGAGTGGTGCAGAAAAATCAAGATGATGGAAGTTTCCAGTAAGAGACGATGGGGAGGAAAAGAGCTTTCAGTGGAACTCCTCTAACATAAACAGTGAGAGTAGCACAGCTGGGAGTCATTATGTGGGGGAGACGCAAGTGTCTGCCAATCTAACCTCCGACTGCCTCTCAATGCCTTTCCGCACCCCACTAATCATCCCCTGGGGCCTGTGCCATCTCTTCAACTCCGTGTTCTTGATGTTAGTGTTCATTTACGACACTTTTGATTTGGTCTGCATGAGCCTAATTGTGAAAGATTGTTGCAGGTCTGAGTGTCAGTGATGACGGGTGACAACATGACTCTGCGTGCGTCCTCTGCTCTGTGTCAAAACAAATTAATCTGTACTGGATAAAAGTGTAAAGGATTGAGACTCGTGGTTTGAAAGATTTTAAGAATTTCAGCCAGAGAGGTTTGGAGGGCCTGAAGTGACCACACAACTTCGGGAGGCCATCAAAGGAAATGTGGTCATCATGTTTGTTTGAACTGTAGGTGTTGAAAACTTGAAAACTGGTTTTTGTGAAAAATATTTTGATAGGAGAGAGAAATAGATGTACTGCCCCCCCCACCCCTTTTTTTGTCAGCAAACTAGCTTGTCATCAGGAAAGTGGTCAATTATCAGCATTGGGCATTTTTTTCAAAACACATATGGTCCCACATGGGAGGAAGAGCAGTAGGAAAAAAACACGGTATCTATGTTTTGCTCCATGCATGTAACTGCTGCGCTGCCCAAAACAAGTTCCCATGGAAAATTCTGCAATAAATCAGACTGCTTTTCTAAAGGGAAAACAATATGGAATATTTCACACCTACTACAGAACATTATGGAGTTTGAGGCCCCAACACTACACACATGTGCTGACCCCAGTGTCCTGACTGTGGCACACTGAGAGGATGTGCAGTCAAAGGGACAAGTGCCATCCCATGAATTCCATCAGCTTCCTGCCACAATCAGCCTTTGTTTCAGTCAGTCTCTGTGAGTTCATGTGGGGGAGAGTGCGGAGTACACACAAGACTTGGTGTTTAACGCTGTGGTTGGGTTACACAATTTTGATTACATTAGAAATTACACTTTTTTGTTTTTGCTTACAGAGCAACTTGAATAGTCACATAAGGTTAGAAGCTTTTTACAGGTGCAGCAGCTTTGACTAGAATTTAAGGCTGACATAACTAAAAAAAAAAAACTAAAAAAAACTTGGGTCTGTGGTCCACTGTTCCTTCCTGCTTTTAAAATACATGTCAGATAACCTGGGAATTACAGCAGGTTGTGTTTTACTTATTAGTGATGGGACCACCCTTTAATTACATTTGGATCGCACCGATTGTATCTTTAATGTGGTCGGATGATACAGTTCAGAAGATGCTTGAAAGCACCTGTTATTGTAGAAAAATCAACTGTACCTTTCTTTAGAATTTTCTTATATAAATGGAGCAGTAACTGTGTCTGCATATGTTGGTGGCTGTATCTGTGTATCTTGTCGGGGGGGGGGGGGGGGGCGGTCTGAGGTTTCTGTAGTGCATGACTAAGAATGAAGACATACCTGTTTACATGTTAAATATGAGTGCATATATGTTCACACACAAACATGCATATTTCCCTCTGTGACCGCTGGCAGTGGCGTTGGCAGCTGATGAAACTAGATCGCAGCTTGTTGAATAATTGAGTTGTGGCCTACTGCGATGGATGGATCATGACCGCTGTTAACCCTTTCACAGCCAAGGATCATTGGCTCAGTGTTGGCTCACAACACAGAGAAGTGTGTTTGGTTATGCGTGTGTGTGTGTGTGTGTGTGTGTGTATGTGTGTGTGTGTGTTTGTGTGTGTGTATGTGTGTATGTGTGTATGTGTGCATGTTAAGAGTTTCGTCAACATTGCTCTCACTTGGATGCTTCCCACAGGGGATTATCGTAAACTTAATACGCCCATTCTATTAAATCAGAAGGTCAAGTTTCTTTTGAGCCCAGAGTCAAAAGTATGCAGGTTTTGTGCCAGCGTATATATGAACTATTTACAGTTACATGTGTGTACTGCAAACACACCCACCACTGTGGATAAACAACAATTTCTTGACCAAAAACACTATAATTAAGTGTACATCTACTGAATGCAAGTAACAGGTAAAGTTAAAGAGAATCTTGTAACAAGCATATAAGCTGGTGGAAATCAATCGATAAGTCAATCAGTAGATGGCAGTTTAAACAATCAAAAGAGCACTATGTCAAACCCTTCTCAAGGAAAATCCAATCTGCAGTTAAACTAAAAGCGCATTCATCAGTTTTTGTTCCATGGCCCCTTCTTCCATGACCTAAAAACTGTATCCCAGTTTGCTAATGTTATTTCACTGCTTGGAAAAAATCTACAGACGTCGACAGCCTGTTTTCCAGCTGGGTGTGCTGTGAAGAAATTACCATGAGCTTAAAGTGTTCAAAACTGCTGAAAATACTGATTTCTAATGAATGTGATCAATCAAGTTGGAGGATACAGTCAAGTGTACTCCTGTAACAACTGACCCATGGCAATTGTGTCTCTTTTTTGTCAACTAACTTGTCCAAGTTTGCTTTTGTACACTGTGGATCCAAACAATCCAAGCACCATGTTAGATCAAGTAACATTTTAATTGCACTTTTATAAATAATACTGTACTATAATGCTGGGGATAACTAGCTCTACCCTGCCAAGGATCATCAGCTGGTGAGGATGCAGACTTTTTGCTACAAAAAGGCAACAAACTGTGATGTGACTTTGACCTTTAACCACCAAAATCAAATCAGTTAATTTTTCAGTCCAAGTGAGCATTTGAGAGAAATTCCCTCAAGGTGATATTGAGATATCGCATTCACAAGAATGGAACGGAAAACCAGAGGCTTAAAAATGGAGCTCTGAATGGAAATGTTGCTGACGTTGCATGACGTCCTGGCGATGTACAAACAACAGAAGCACATGGGACTTAAGCTGATGTCGTGGTTGACAACCAGTTGCCATGGAGACAGCAGTGGAACCAGTGGAGCCA